GGTAAGAAAAGTACAAACGCAAAAAAGGAAAAAGTTATATAGTAAAGTTATAAATTGCTCCAAAAAGCCTGATTTCGAATCTGATTTAAAAAACACTTTAAAGTCGGAATTTTTTCAAATAATGTACAAATCATACCAAGTTAAACCAAGTAACCAAGTAAAAAGAGAATTGACCGAAGTTTTTTATCTTCCTCAATGTGAAAACTTTATTATTGCGAAATGGAATCCCTCGGTATAGCCGACAGCTGCATACCCTCAGTCAATGTTCGGCTATTTAAATTTATTTTGACTTGCGTTGGGATTAATCAAACTGTTGAACCTTCATAGGAGAGATTCCGAAGAAGTGGGTCAATATTTTCCATTTCGGATCTGACATAAGTCTGATAAAAATATTATAACGTATCAGATTTAGATTTTATGTCGACTACTTCCTTCATTTTATATGAGATATTAAATAATTTTTCGAAAAGTTCGCGTTTTAGGAGAGTTATAATTACCTAAAATGTTGACCCGTTGTGGGGGAGGTACCAGAAGGAATGAACCGATATTGTCCATCTCCACAACAAATCTTGTGTTGATAGAAGTATTGGGATGAGTCGAGTTTGAAAGTAATCCCCTCCCCCGTTGTGGGGGGAGGTACCAGGAGGAGTGGTCCGTTCAATCCGTTCTTCGTACCAGACCTTGTCTTAACGGAAATATTGAAAATTTATAAAGTTTACAATTATTCAAAATTTTGACCCATTGTGAAAGAGGTACCAGAAGAAGTGATCTCTACCTATACTCTACCATCTTTACACCAGTTCTTGCTTAAGTAGATGCATTGGGATGTGTGAAATTTGAAAAGAATCGAAAGTTCATTTCGCGTTTTACAAGCTTCACGGATATTCAAAATTTAGGCCTTTGTGGGGGATGTACCAGAAGGAGTTGACAGATATATTCCATCTTCACGTCAGACTTTCGGTTAATAAAAATATTGTAATGTCTGTAATTTGAAGACAATCGGACTCTTACATCACATTTTATAAGTGTTATAATTATTAAAAATTGTGATCTTTTGTCGGGTAGGTACTTGATGGAGTGAACTGATATTGTCGATTTTTGCACCTTTCCTAGAACTGATGGCAATTTTAGGAATTGGGAATTTGGAGCAAAATTTGATTATCCTTTCTCTATTTGTGTACTAAAATATATATTTTTTTTAATTTCGACCAGAAGAGTAGGACCGATATTGCCCATCTTCGAGCTCGATCTAGGTTTGGCTGCGGTACTTTGGCCCATTCCCGGCGAAGTGCTTGCTTCAGTGGTTGGTCGACACTCTGTTATTTTTTAGTGCCAATCTAGCTTTCCAAAATACTACAGAGATTTTTGTGGCCATTGTTCGCTGGAAATGAAGCGAGGAACCTCATTTTGTAACCATTCTTGGGTGGTGCGTGCTGAGTGCGATGGTGCTGAGTCCTGTTGGAATGTCCAAGGTCTGCGGCCAAAATGTTTGCCTGCCCAAGGCTTTAATACACCCTCCAGAATATTTTCGCGATAATATTCGGCATTTATGGTGATGCCACGTTCGATTAATACGAGCGGAGAGCGACCATCGCCTGTTATGGCGGCCCACACCATCACCATGATAGGCGCTTGAGTTCTGGTGGCCAACCGAAGGTGCACATTTTCAGCTGACCTCTTTGACATGTAAACACGATCATTTTGTTTGTTTACAAACTGCTGGACAACGAACGTTTTCTCATCGGAGAAAATCAAATTCAGCAGTACACCACTTTCGGCAAAGCAAAGCAACTCTTTAGCTCTTTTGAGTCTATTTTCTTTCGGTTGCGGTGTAAGTTCTTGCACCCATTTTGGATGCAGTTTTTTCATCTCATCCTGTATAGTCACATTTTTTATACCCTCCCCCATACTATGGAGGGTATATTAACTTTGTCATTCCATTTGTAACTCCTCGAAATACTCATGTCAGACCCAATAAAGTATATATATATTCTTGACCAGCGTAAAATTCTAAGTCGATTTAGCGATGTCCTGTCTGTCCGTCTGTCTGTGGTAATCACGCTCTTTCGAACGAATTGAGATAGAAGGCTAAAATTTTGCACACATGTTTATTTTTCAGTAGGCAGGTTAAGTTCATTATGAACTTCTTATAGCCCCCATATAACGGTACCTCCCTATATTCGGTATTTTCATGATTCTAGCGACATTATTAACTGGAATTGTTTCAAATTTGGTATTTGAAGTTCGAAATGGATACTACAGCCTAAGACAGAAAATTGTCTGTGCAGGTCCACGTCTTCCCCATATAACGGTAACTCTCAATATTCGGCATTTTGATGATTTTAGCGTCATTATTCACTGGAATTATTTCAGATTAGGTATTCAGAGATTGTAATAGGAACTACAGTCTGTGACAGAAAATTGTCTATGCAGGTCCAGGTCTTCGTATTGGCCCCATATACAAGTACCACCCTATATTCGGTATTTTGGCGACTTTAGGTACAATACTCACCGAAATTGTTTGAAATGTCGTATTTGAAGTTCGTAATGGATGCTACAGACTATGACAGAAAATTATCTATGCTGGTCCAGGTCTTCGCACAGCTCCGATATAACGGTACCTCCCTATATACGATATTTTGATGATTTTACATTACATTATTCACCGTTTATTTCAAGTTCCGAATTTGAATTTGGTAGTGACTTATGAAAAACAATGCCTGTGTGGGTCTACGTCGTATAGACACCAATATGACGGCTATATTCGGTATTTAAAAAATTTTAACAGAATTTTTTAAGGATTTTATTTCCAAATTCGTTCCAAATGGTGGGGGGTATTCAAAGTTCGGCACGGCCGAACTTACTGCTTTTTAACTTGTTCTTTTTTTATACCCTACACCATAAGGTGGTCAGGGTATTTTGTCTTTGTGCATTTGTTTGTAACAGGCAAAAGGAAGCGAGATAGACCCATAGTTCCTTTTGATGATCTGCATAGAATTACATTCTGAGTCGATTTATGTATGTACGTCCGTCCGTCCGTCTGTCCGTCTGTCCATGTATTTTTGTAAACAAAGTACAGTTCGCATTTATTGTCCTATCCAGATAAAATTTCGCACAAATCATTTGTTTGGCCCAAGGACGAACCCTATTGAAATTGGAGATAATCGGTTAAAATTTAGGTATAGCTCCCATATATCTTCCTCCGATTTACCATTTATTGTGCACCAAAAGTGTAATATCAGGCCGAATGGTATGGAATTTTGCACATACAACCAGATTAGGCCTGAAAATAAGTACGCCAAATTTTATCGATATCGGTTCAGATATAGCTATAGCTCCCACATATATTGTTCATCCGATTTGTTATTTTTGTCCTCCGCAGCCGTAATATGCACTCTGTAACAACAATATTTTGGGAAATATATCAAATACAACTCAGAAATACTTTGGTAAATTTTATCGAGATCGGTTCAGATTTGGATATAGCTCCCATATATAACTTCGTCCGATTTACCTTTTATTGTGCACCAAACGTCTAATATTTGTCCAAATGGGATGGAATTCGGCACTTACGACCGAATTGAGCGTAGAAGCAAGTATGTCAAATTTGGTGAAGATCGGTTCAGATATAGCTATAGCTCTCATATATACTCTTCATCCGATTTGTTATATTTGTTACCCACAGCTGTAATATGCACTCCGTAACGACGATTTTCAGGGAAATATATCAAATACAGCTCAGAAATATCTTAGCCAAATTTTATCGAGATCGGTTCCGATTTGGATATAGCTCCCATATATATCTTTATCCGATTTCAAGTTAATTGTGCATCAAATGGGTAATACATGTCCGAATTAAATAGATACAAATGCTTCGGCATATTCAGACCTTTGAACTTTAAATTATAATCATAGCGTGAGTCAATTGTTATGCGGAGCTCTACTAAATTAGCAAAGTGGTGTAGGGTATCCTAAAGTCGGCCCCGCCCGAATTTAAGACTTTCTTTACTGGTTTGTTTATTAAAAAAGGGTAATATATGAAGAACTCTGTATTATACTGTTGGTAATCAATCAATAACATTTTGAACCATTTTTCAAAATTTATTTTGTTTTTGTTTATTTTTTATGGGAGTCGAATAACAACTAATCACCAAATAATGTTGACAAATGTAAAATCATTCAGCGGAAACAATAATTTTTCACGGTAATAAATTATGTCAGACCTTCGAATTACAAAAGGGAAAAAAGGGTTAGAACATACCCTTTCCCCTTCGCTCCTTGTATCCCAGCAATGATAGAGACATTTATTAAAATGACACCAAAATGAACGGAAGCAAAAAAAAAAAGACAAGCAATGTATAATGGAAACAGGAAGAATGGAAGGAAGTTGCAAAGAAGCAGAAGAGAAAATGATGATGATACAACAACTACAACCAATAACCGAATCTAATGAGCAACGAAATGAAGAGATGACGATGACAATGACAAGGATGTTACTACAAATGTAATGTCGAGGATAATGGTGATGACAATAATGATGTTGTTATTTTTGTTGTTGTTGTTGTGGTGGTGTGGTATGACAGTAAAGTGAAGAATGTACCAACAACAAAATCACTGTGTTAGAGATGTGTACTTTGATTTCCAATAAAAAAGAAAGACAATTTATCTTGTTACTGCATCCGTGTAAAAGTGTTAGGGTAGTCGTCATCGTCATCGTCGAAGTAGTAGTAGTAATGGTGTTGGTGGTTGACTGTGATTTAGAATTTACAACAAAAACCATTATTTTTTTGAAATTGTTTGGGAGGAGTGTTAGTGTTGTTTGTTTGTAACCTTTTTTCGGTTCATTTGTTTGTTGGTGGGTGTAGGAAGGAAAAGTTCTAATGAAGTCAAGTGAATTAAAATTTGTTTTTTTTGTTGTACAGCTACTAAAATTGAGTCATTTTTGTTGCTTTTGTTTTGATTGGGTGATATATTTTTTTTTCGTATTTTGGGGTAGTTACCTTAGTTTCAGTTCCTCATCAATATATTGTAAGAGACTCCTACAAAAATATAACAAAAAACAATTGTAAAAAGAAACAAAATCATATTCACATACATACAGAGAGACAGTGTGTAAGAGAAAGAGAAATAGAGAAGTAGGAGAGAAAGAGTAAAAAAAAACAAACAGGGGCAACTCAGTGTGTAATTTGTCCAACAAAAAGGGGAAATGAGAGCGGCAACGAAACAAATTACACCAACCAAGTCAATAGTTTGTAACTAAAACCAAATATTAACTAATTCAATAAAAGTTAAAATATTTTCAAACTAAGTGTGAGAGGAAGATAAAAAAAAAACGCAAATAACTCAGAAGCATTAGGTGAATAACAAAAATATAACTTTCTCAAGCTTGATTTGCCTCCTGGAAGACAACTTTAACTTTTTTAACTGGCAAAGGTGAGAATTATTCAAACAAACTTAAGAGGATGTGGCGCTGCAAGGCAATAAATTAAATAACATTAAGCGTTCGGAAACATGATCGTAAAACTTTTGACCAATATTTGAAAAAAAAGTTTAAAGAAAAAACTAATTCATGTTTACTCCTAAAATGCCTGAAAATGTTTTGATGTATGAAAGAGAAGTTTTATTTAATTGTGAAATAGTTTATTTTAACATCTTAAATAGAATTCAATTTATTTAAACATGCATACTTCAGGATTTTTCTACAGATAAATTCAATATTGAAAAAAACTTTTGAATTTTAAATTGATATGAAAATATGCACAATAATGAAACCCCTTTTCAATTGATTAATGAAAGGATATTCATGTGAGTCTTATATCGACATTTTTGCTGCATATTTTTAGGAGTTGTGAACATTTGCCACTTATCTTTTAGTTTAAGTACCCTTGATGTCATTTTTAACAGGATTAGGGACACATTTTTGATAAATTCAGTGGTAAAGGATCTTTTCAAATTCCTGATGGGGTCTGCCAATAGAGATCATTTACTATAAAAATAACTTTAAATTTATATGTGGGCCAAATAATTGTTCATAATTTGTAAATATTTGAGGTCTCTCCAAGGTCTCAAACATATTAATGTGTGACAAAATTCAATTTTTTTCAATAACTACAGAAACAAGTTAAATAGTATCAGTCGGTTTTGCGGACAGATGTATACCCCCAGCCTTGAGTTATGATTATCCTAAGACTGATAAAATTATTATAACGTGCCAGATTTGGACTATATCGACTACTTCCTATATGATATATGAGACATGTGCACATTTTTGGAAAAGTTGGAAATATGCCTGAGGTTCCCTATACCTGTAATAGGGAACCGAAGCATTCCAGCTTCATACTTCATCAAATACAGATAAAAATATTGGTATATACAAAATTTGAAGGAAATCCAACATTTATATCCAATCCAATGCGAAATCATAAATTCCATATTCATCTCATATTTCTGGTGAAGAGAAATATTTAGATATAGCAAGTTGTAAAGAATCGCCGCCTTGTTTGACAGAAAAAGTATTCAAAATTATGAAGAGGTTAGGTGCCAAAAGGGTGCGCAGATATATATTATCTTCACAACAGATCCTGCGTTAGCAAAAATATTTGTACGTGAAACATTTAAAGAGATTTTCGCTTTCTTTGAGTGTTTTGTTTCTTAAAATCTAGAACTTAATGTGGGAGGGAAACAGAAGAAATGGTCCGATCTCTACCATCTTTATAAAAGGTCTTGTGTTAATGGATATATTGTAATGTGCCAAGCCTGAATGGAGTCGGATGTTAATTTCTCGTTTTTTAAGCTTTATGGATACTCAACAATTTGATCCTTTGTGGGGAGGAACCAGAAGGAGTGGACCGATGCTACGTGTGAAATATGAAGAGGACCGAATGCTTACATTCCTTACAATGTTCCGATCTCTACCATCTTAACAGATCTTATGTTGATGAAAATATTGGGATGTGTCAAGTCTGGGTGGAATCGGATGTTAATTTCCCGTTTTATGAGCTTCATAGATACTCAAAATGTTGACCCTTACGGGGGAGGCATCGGAAGTAGTGGACCGATACCATCTTCACAGAAAATCTTGTGTCAGCATGAATAATGATGCGTGTGAAATATGAAGAGGACAGGATGCTTACTTCGTATTTTATGATCGATTTGGTCATTCAAAATGTTAACCCTTTGTGGGGGAGGTACCAGAAAAAATGGTCTGATCTCTACCATCTTCATAAAAGATCTTGTGTTGATGGAAATATTGGGATGTGCCTAGTCTGAATGGAATCGGATGTTAATTTCCCGTTTTATGAGCCTCATGGATACTCAAAATTTTGACCCTTTATGGAGGAGGAACCAGAAGGAATGAACTGATATATTCCATCTTCACAGCAGATATTGTGTTAGTAGAATAATGATACGCGATCGTTTTGGTCATTCAAAATGTTAAACCATTGGGTGGGAGTTACCAGAAAGAATGGTCCGATCTCTACCATCTTTATAACAGATCTTGTGTCGATGGAAATATTGGGATGTGCAACGCCTGAATGGAATCGGATGTTAATTTCCCGTCTTATAAGCTTCATAGGTACTCTAAAAGTTGACCCTTTGTGGAGGAGGTACCAGAAGGAGTGGACCGATATATCCCATCTTCACAGCAGATCTTGTGTTAGTAGAAATTATGGGGTGTGTGAAATATGAAGAGGACCGGATGCTTAATTCGGATTTTATGATCGTTTTGGTCATTCAAAATTTTAACCCTTTGTGGGGGAGGTATCAGAAGGAATGGTCCGATCTCTATCATCTTAATAACAGATCTCGTGTTGTTGGAAATATTGGGATGTGCCAAGTCTGAATGGAATCGGATGTTAATTTCCCGTTTTATGAGCTTCATGGATATTCAAACTTTTGACCCTTTGTGGAGGAGGAACCAGAATGAGCGGGTAGATATATCCCACATTCTATCCAGACCTTCGTTTAATAAAAATATTATGATTTGTGTAATTTGAAGATAATCGAAAACTTAAATCACATTTTATAAGAGTTATTATTACTTGATGAAGTGGACCGATATTGTCAATTTTCGAACCTGACATAGCACTGATGCACATATTAGGATGTGCAAAGTTGGCGCAAAATCGTATTATCCTTTCTCTTTCTGTGCAGAAAACATTTTTTTTTGAAAATTTCGACCTTTTGTGGGGAAGGTACCAGGAGAAGTGGACCGATATATTCCATTTTCACACCAGACCTTAGGATAATAAAAATATCGGGATATGTGAAATTTGAAGATGTTCGGACTCTTCATTACATTTTATAAGAGTTGTATTTATTCAAAATGTTGACCCTTTGTGGGGAAGGTACTTGATGGAGTGGCCGATGTTGTCCATTTTCGCACCTGACCTAGCACTGACGCAAATATTAGGATTTGCAAAGTTGGAGCAAAATCGGATTATCCTTTGCCGTTTAATGCAGTAAAATATATTTTTTGAAAATTTCGACCATTTTTGGGGGAGGTACCAGGCGGAGTGGACTGATATTGTCCATCTCTGAACTCGATCTAAGTTTGACAAAAATATTACGATGTACCAAGTTTGGAACAAATCGGATAGTCTCTTCGAGAGTTATCGTGCGCACCAGCCAGCCAGACTCGACTCCAAATGTCCTGAAATGAATTTTGTCCGAAGATACCTAGGGTCAATAACCGTTTACCCTCTCTAGCAATATGACAGACGGTATAATTTCCATAAAGACCTCTTTGGTGACTCTTTTAAGGGTAAAATTCTAAAATGATTTTTTTCGATGAGGTACATTTTGACCGTATCAAATGATATATACCCTATCTAGCCATATGGCAGAGTGTATAATTACCATAAAAACCCCTTTGGTGACTCGTTTAAGGGTAGAATTTTTGACCTCTATTAAGATTACTACTCTGTGATGTAAACTTTCAAAACGCCGATACACGTGACTTTTTATTTTAGCTCCAATTTCAAAATCTGCTGGATTTTCTTATAATTATGGAAAAACAGTCTTATCAAACGAGAAATACAACCATCATTTCTCATAAAGCACCGAAAGAAAAATGATTCCATATCACATTAGGAAACATTTGTCAGGTTTACATGTAAAGTCCTTTTTGGCAGCCTTAGCTAATAAGAATCTCGCGTAGTAAGTTCAGGAAAAAAATATTCCTTCATTTATATTTTCCCAAGTTCAAATGAGCATCTATGACGAAAGTATGCCCCTCACCCTTTTTTATTATTAGCAAAATGTCTTCGAACAAATTGTCAATACTGCCATCGTTCTAATAACCTTAATAAAAATTCAAGTCAATTGGGATTATATTTTCTCATTTTATTGGCAACAAATTTGCACCACAACAATTTCTATTAAAAATGTGATATGTGTCAGTCTCACTCAAACCCCGGGTTAACCGCCTTTAAAAGGATAACAAAAACGTGTCATAAAAGCAAAATCTCATCATAAAATCCGAAAAGAGACGAAAGTGTAACGCTCTGTCGGTCGGTTGTTCGGGATGGTTAATAAATTGTGGTAATTACAGTGGTTATAGCCAATGATGCCACACACACAATGGCATCTAAACTAAATCGTAAAAAGGTCAGTTACAACGGCTCAAGCGGATGGCTTTCGAAAGGCAAAAGGTTAATGGCATCAACTAGCCAACGAGTGTCATAGACTGCCGAGGAGGATTGTTGACACCTTACCATTGCTCTCTCCGTTTCTCTCCACTCTTCTTCTACATTCTTTTAACCACGAAGCTTTTGTTTCAGCAGCATCATCAATGAGGTTGTGGTGGTCATAGTCCTTTTTATGGTGTATTTTCATAGAAAAATTCAACCATTTGACGAAGGTCCTGAACAAAACAGAACCAAACCACATTGGACTGGACTAGACACTGCTGCTAGCATCGCATCATCCATAATGCATATGTCCCATGGTTTACCGTATAGTGTTTGTTACAACGAAACGAGGATAACGAAAGGATTTGTATAAATTTATTGTTGTTTTATGTGTTGCACACAGCAAC